TGTGTGTGTGTGGATGTTTCCCAGAGATGGGTTGCGGCTAGAAGGGCATCCGCTGCGTAAAAACTTGCTGGATAAGTTGGCTGATTAATAAAGGGACTGAGCCGACAAGAAAATTAATTAATATTTTAGGGCCAGACAGAATCTGCTGACATCTTTTGCTATTTCTGCTGAGAATTTTTTTTAAAATCTGCGAATTATATGGAATGATTTTAGGAGTATCATAACTAAAAACCTAATTTATGAATAAATAATAATACATTTTAAACTTGAGTGAAACAATGAAAGATGCTTTCTCTTCTTTGGAATTGGCAGCAAGGAAAATGGGACTTGAGGTAAGTGAAAGCAAGACGAAGTATCTGACCAGACCCAACGATACAAGTGGGAAATGATATATTTGAAAAGGTCAATAAGTTCAATTATCTAGGATCAGTGATTACTACAAACAACGATCTAAATCAAGAAGTGGTACAGAGACTTGCCTCTGCAAATAAAAGCTATTACGGACTCATGAAGTACATGAAGATCCGTTCACTGCCTAGACAGACAAAGATAACCCGATATAAAGTCCTGATTCGCCCAGTCCTGGCCTATGGATCAGAAACGTGGACAATGACAAAAGCCATAGAACAAAAGCTCTTAGTTTTTGAAAGAAAAATTCTGAGGAGAATATATGGCCCAATAAAAGACAATAATCAATGGAGGATACGTCACAACAATGAGCTTGCAGCCTTGCATAAGGAAATTGATATAGTTAAATATATCAGACTTGCGAGACTAAGGTGGGCAGGACACGTCATATGTATGGATCAAAATGCCATTCCAAAAAAAATCTTCAGCACTGACCCGGTAGGCAAAAGAAAAGTAGGAAGACCTAAACCAAGATGGCGAGACTGCATTAGCAGTGACGCCAATGATTTAGAAATAAGGAATTGGTGGGCAGTTGCCCGGGACAGAGAACATTGGCGGAAATTACTTGAGGCAGCCAGGATCCAGTAATGGAATGTTGCGCTAAGGATGATGATGACATTTTAAACTTTTATTTAATGTTTACAATGCAAAACTTATTAGATTCACTTATTTGATAAACAAAGCAAGTCTCTCATGTAATATATCTACTAAAACACAGAACATATAACTTTACAAACTGTATTGTACATAACTCATATAGACATTTTATTATCACTATTATTATATCACAATAATATCAGTGGAATTCATTTAAAACTGAATAAGCACAAATTTACGCTCATTTACACAAGCCAATGCATAGACTCAATGAATCTGCGGATTTCAGCGTGCGCAGAGTCTATGTGGGCCTACATATTACATTTTACAACTGTAGAAGTTATAATACTACAATACACCACAGTTTACTGTAGTAAAAACTAAAGTATACCTAAGTGTTTGTTACAGTTCATCAGTTCACTATAGTTAATACTACAGCATGCTGCTGCATGCATTAAAAAAGAGTTAAATAAATAAGTAAATATTCTAACATATACAGCATAATACCCTTTACACTTCACTTTAGTGTTTTAATGTGGGCAGCTGATTTTTATTAGATATATTACCAAAAAACAAATGCAGGCACAATAAAAACATTTAATAGCAATTCTATTCAGCAATATTTATTCAAGTTATATATAATAACGTCATGTATTTGACTATTATAATTTGCTCAAAATTCCAAGTACATTTTAATAAACAAATAAAACTGAAAACTATAATTAAAGAAATAGTTCACCCCAAAAAAATGACAATTCTGTCATCATTTACTCTCCCTTGATTAAATCAAACAAAGGAAGATATTTAGCAGGAAACCTGTAAACATTGTCTTCCACAGTATTAGATTTTCCAACTATGGATGTCAATGGTTACTGGTTTCAAACTAAATATCCTCTATTGTGTTCATGAGAGTAGGAAATGGTTCAAAACAAGTGACCGAAGTGACCAAAAATAAGCAAATGATGGATGAAAATATCTCTTTAAATCTTACTTTTTAATTTTGTGTCATAGTTTATTTGTGTTTTTATCGAATAATTAAATAATAAAATTATAGTTTCTTCCAAAACGAATTTTTTCAAAAAATAAATAAAACTGAAAACCACAATTAACTAATAGTACACCCACAAAATACTGTCGCTTGACTTGCTTCAAACCATGTTAAGTTTCTTTTTTGTTGGAAAAAAAAGACAAGATATTTAGCAAAAAACCTGTAAGTATTGATTTCTGCATTATTTGTTTTTGCTATGGATGTCAATGGTTACAGGCTTCAAACAATACATCTTCTTTCGTTTCGTGTTCAACAGGGAAAAAAACAACACACACACATTGGTTTGAAACAAGAGTGACCAAATTGAGCAAATGATGATTAAAATATCTCTTTAAATCTCACTCTTTAACTTTAAATCGTACTTTATTTGTGTATTTTAAATATTAAATAATAAAACTATAGTTCAGCCAAAAAACTCACCTGCAGCAAGCCTCAGTCCTGAAAGTCTTAAAAGATGCGCCGGTTTACATCCGAGACCCCCCGCAGCTGGAGGATGGAGCAGTCCAGCATAAGCCGACCAGTGTCTTCTGATCGGGTGAGAAAATTTTGGGTCAGCTGATGTAGCGCGGAGGGGGGCGGGGCCGCGCGGTGGGAAGACGCGCGCTCTGCTGGAGGAGGGAACAGATTTCCCGCGCGCCAAACTGTCTGAGGGGAGAAGAGATTGAGATTCAACCGTCGAAAAACAAGATGATAACGGGAAAAGGCGATTATATTGCGGTGAGATTTTAAACATGTGTTTCTTTGTGTAAATAAGATAACTTAGGGAGCAAAAGGGAGAGAAAAACCTGCAAGATAATAACTTTTTTCCCCTGTCAAAAAGTAGGCTACTTCATAAACACCGCCTGAACAGTTTAATGGATTAGTTCACTCCCAGAACAGACATTTTAATAATTTACTCGCCTCCTTGTCATCCTAGATGTTCATTTCTTGTTTTAGGCAAACAAGGGAAAACTGAAAAAGTGATTATATCCTGTGAAATTTTCAATAAATTGTGTGTCTTTGTGTTGATAAGTTAGAAACCAAAAGGAAGAGAAAACACTGCAAGATTTAAAGGATTAGTTGACCTCCAGAATGGACATTTCACAATAATTTACTGAGCTCCTTTGTCATCCCTGCTGAAAAATCCAGCTTAAACCAGCCTAGGCTGGTTGGCTGGTTTTAGCTGGTCGACCAGCCTGGTTTTAGAGGGGTTTTGGCCATTTCCAGGCTGGTTTCCAGCCATTTCCAGCCTGGTCCTAGCTGGGTAGGCTGGAAAATGACCTGTCAAATCCAGCTAAAA